GGGTTGGATCAAGGGCTGGACTTGATGATCTGAGAGGTCTTTTCCAACGTGGCTGATTCTGTGATTCTGTGATTCCCATTCCTATGGCAGCACATGCTTGAGGCTCCATCCCCAGGGTGATAGAGATGTCTGTCCATATCTATCTCCAAGCTTAGTCTGTAAATGTGTGTTAGAAAAGCAGGCTAAGTTGTGGGCTGGTTGTAGAAGGAGAAGGAAGCCCAGAGGCCAGTGCAAGCAGGCAGCCCTCAGCTTGCACCTCATGTCCCCTCCCTGCAGGTTCCTGTCCTTGAGCCCAGGCCCTGAGGTGAGGCTGAGAAGTGGCGCGGAGGTGAGCCCAGAGCTGTCCCTGAGGTGAGGCTGAGAATAAGTGCAAGGCAGAGGTGCTGCTGAGGAAGGAGAGCCCTGTGGTGGGGAAGACAAGAAACTGTGGATGTCCATCCCTGAGAAGGTGCTGTGTCCATCCCCTGTGTGCCAGGTGAGCTGGGGCTTTGCTGCAGAGCTGCGGGCGCTGATTTGAGCGGCTGCAAGTGCTGAGATGGTGGCACCCAGGAACACAAACTGTGCCTGGCCACGGAGCCTGCAAGGAGGAGCAGAGACAGCGGTGTCAGTGTGGGGGTCCAGGTTGTCCCTGTGCCTTCCCCTGCAGGCCCTGGCTGTCCCTGCTGGGCCCCTGTCCATCCCCATCAGGTCCCTGCCCGTCCCCCCCGGGCTGAGCTCCCCCCAGGAAGTGCCGTGGAGCTGAAGCTGCTGCCATCCCCCCCTGCAGCCGCTGCCCCAGCCAAGGGAGCAGCAAAGGCAGGGCCAGGAGCAGAGGCAGCAGCAGGGGAGCCCTGGGGGGGCCGGGAAGCTCTTGTGTGGGTCAGGAAAGAGGCACTGGGCACGAGGCCGGGGCTGTGCTGAGCAGGCCCAGCCCTCACATCCCCCCAGCCAATGCTGGCTGCCCGGGGGGCTTGGGAGGGACCCCCAACCCCTGTGCCCCACACTGAGCTGGCAGAGAGAGAGCCAAGGGACAGGGTCACTTGCCTTGATCCCTGGAGAGCAGGGGGAGGCTGGAGAGAGGGGGGAGCTGCAACAGCCCTGAGAGCCTGGAAAGGGGAGAGCTCGGGCCCCCTGTTCTGAGCCAGCAGTCGGGGTCATGCTGTTGGTGCCAAATTGCCCCTGGTCAGGCTGAACCCAGAGCCCACCCATGTGTCAGGGGGCCCGATCCGCTCCCTGCTCTCGTTGCCCTTGGGGCAGCCTCTGGTGTCCCCCCGCCTGTGGGGCTGTTTGGTTGCCTTGGGCACAGCCGGCCCTTGTGCAGGGCTGTGCCCTTTGGGGCTGTTGGAGGTGGGCAGGAGGTGTTTTTTGGGGTTGCAGGGCTGGGTTGAAGGCAGAGCCCCGGCAGTGGGTGGGGGGATGTGGGTCCCCCCGCGTACTGGGGGTTGGTGTTGCTGGGTCAGGCCCCACCGGCTCCATTGTCAGCCCGGTGCCGGGGGTGGAGCCCGGGAGCTGCTGAGTGTGGAGGGCGGAGCAGGGCGATGCTGGAGCTGGGGGACCCCCGGCAGCCTGGAGGGGGAGCATAGAGAAGGGGAACCCCTTACAGTGGGGACCCCTGGGATCCCCGGGACAACAGAGTGGAGAACCTGGAGCGGGGGAATGTCTGGGAACTCCCGAAGGCGAGAGTCAGAGGAGAAGGGACCCTTGGGACCCCCAACATTCCCAGCATCCCTGAGTTGGACCCCCAGCATCTAAGAAAGGGAAGCTGTTCCCAACCCCAGAGGGGACAGACCAGAGAGAGGTAACTCCTGGGAGAATTTCTTTGGCTTAACCTTCATATTTTGGAGTAGTTTTTTAGGTAAATCTCAACTTTTTGCAGTTTGGGTGGGTGAGGGTCTTCTTACTATTTTTGAGAGGGTTTTTGCCTGAATCTCGGTGGTTTGGGTTTTTCTGGTCTGAGTCTTGGTGTTTTGGAGGTTTTTATGGACACAGGATGCCCAGTGAGTTCTAGAGATGGACTTGGGCAGGAGGAACCCCCAAACCAACGCGCTCAGCCCTTGTTTTTCCCCCCCATCAGGATTTGTCCTTCCCAAAGCTTGGGTGGATGGAGGAGGAGGCTGCGAGGAAGAGGAAGATGCCTTGGGTCCCCCAGGCAGGTGAGGAGGAAGTCAGTGGCCCTTTGGGCGGGTGTTGTGCTGGCTCTGTCAGCCGAGCATGGCCCCGGCTGCAGGACAACCCCGCTGCCGCCGCCGTCCTGCCGGGGCCGGAGTTGGGGGGATGTCCTTGGCCTTCCCTGTGGGCCGGAGGCAAATCCCCTCCCTGTCCTTCTTGCTTCCTGCCCCAGGCCCCGAGCTGAGGACGGAGAGCCCGGAGGACAAATCCCCCCGTGAGACCCTGGTGGGAGAGGCCGTTTTGAAGGGCTCCCCGGCACAGGAAGGCAGCGGGGAGGAAAAGGGCCGGAGATCCCCCCGCAGGAGGGGCTCCAAAGCCAACCCAGGGTGCTCTGAGGAGGAAAGAGCCAGCCTGTGCTGGGAAGGCGGCCGGAGCTTGAGAGGGAGCTCTGAGCTGGTGGTCCCTGATCAACCTCCCAGCAGGGAGAAGCCCTTCCTGTGCTTGGAATGTGGGAAGAGCTTCAGGAACAGCTCCACTCTGATCCGACACCAGCACATCCACACTGGGGAACAACCCTTTATTTGTGGGGAATGTGGGAAGAGCTTCAGGAACAACTCCAACCTCCTCAGTCACCAGCACATCCACACTGGGGAACGGCCCTACTCATGTGGGGAATGTGGGAAAAGCTTTAGGCAGAGCTCCCACCTCCGCACCCACTAGCGCATCCACAGTGGGGAACGGCCCTACTCCTGTGGGGAATGTGGGAAGAGCTTCAGGGAGAACTCCAAACTCCTCAGCCACCAGCGCATCCACACTGGGGAACGGCCCCACAGGTGTGGGGAATGTAGGAAGAGCTTTAGCCGAGGCTCCCACATCCACCAGCGCATCCACACCGGGGAGATGCCCTACAATTGTGGAGAATGCGGGAAGAGCTTCAATGACAGGTCCAACCTCCTCAGTCACCAACGCATCCACACTGGGGAACGGCCCTACAAGTGCTTGGAATGTGGGAAGAGGTTTAGGACCACCTCACATCTCCTCAGGCATGAGCGGACGCACACGGATGAGAGGCCCTTCCGCTGCACCGACTGCGGGAAGGGCTTCAACCTGAACTCCAACCTTATCACCCACCGGCGCATCCACAGCAGGGAGAGGCCCTACAAGTGTGGGGAGTGTGGGAAGACCTTCCCCCACAGCTCTACCTTGACCAAACACCAACGGACCCAACAGTAAGGGAAACCCTACGAATACCCTGACTGCAGGAAGAGCTTCAGCCGCTGCTTCCACCTTGAATGAAGCCCCTGATGGTGAGGCAACCCCTGGAGTCCAGTGACTGTCAGTCCATCCCTTTCCACCACAAAGGGCCAGTCCCCCTTTCTCAGGGGCAGCTTCTTCCAACAGAACCCTTCTTGGGCGGTCAGTCCTGGAGGTTGAGAGCAGAGATCTCCCCATGAGCATTGGTCTGGGGGAGTTCCATCCATCTCTATTTGAGAATTATTGCTTTTGTGACAGCTTCAGTAGAAATGCTTCAACAATTGCTTTAGTGTAGAGCACTGTCCTATCTTATGCTGTATTCCTGGTAGTTTTAGTGTTTGTCTTGTACAATAAATAATTCTGCTGAAGATCTTTTGTCTGATCATTTGTAACCCTAAATAAATTCATTTCTATCAATAGATCTGATTTGCCATTATTAAAATCTGGGGGACAGAAGTTTATCCATCGCACCTCTTTAATTTCTCTAAATTGAAGCTGTTGGCATAATTGAAGGCTGAGATTGGATCCAGCAGCCCTCAGCACCCCACAGTAAGTTGGAAGCTCAAGGCTCACCCCCCCCTGTTCCTAGCCCCCTTGTGCCAAAAGACCCCCATGGGACTGTTGGACCTGCCAGACTATCCTCCCTTTTCCACCCTTCTCCCTGTTCCTCCCACTTTCCCACTATCCCTTCAATCCCCAATTTCCTACCGGACAGTTTTTGGATCCCGACCCCTACTTTTTACCCCCTCTCCTGTGGACACTTAGGGAGAAAATAAGGCTGCACACACAGAGTTCCATTGCGGGACTTGTCCGCTGACACTTTTCCATTTCCTCTTTTATTCCTGTTCTTTCGTGAACAGCACCCGGTGTTTGTCTTTCAGTCCACCGGAATTCCCAGCATGGCCCCAAAGCAGTGCCCTGATCCCACACATTCCCCTCCCCCCATGTGCTGGCTGTGTTCAGCCACCAGAGAAAAACACAGGCTACCATGCAGAGCGTTCCAAGTGGTTTCCACTTTGGCAAACAGCACTCTCTGGATGGAAAACACCAGTCAGGGCCAAAACACTGCTTGTTGATTCGAATAAACAGAGAGCAGCAGCTTCCGCCTTAACTTCTTCCCACAGAAATTCTCAGGGTTCCTTTGGTTCATGAGGCCCTACGTGTCCCATTGGCCCCTGGATTCCATGAGCTTCCCCAGTCTCCAAAGGTTCCTTTAGTTCCAGGAGGCCCTGCAGTCCCAAAATGCCCTTTGGATTCTCGGAGATTTCCCATTGTCCCAGGGTCCCTTGTGCTTCAGAAGGAGCTGCAGTGGGACAGTGGCCCCTTGGTTCCATGAGCTCTGCAGTGTTCCAGGAATCCTTGGGTTCCAGGAGAGCCTGCAGTTTCACAAGGACCACTGGAATGCAGGAGGTTCTGCAGGGTCCCAATGACCCCTGGATTCTGGGAGGTTCAGAAATATCTCAGGGCTCCCTTGGTTCCAGGAGGTTCAACAGTGTCCCAGAATTCCTTTGATTTCATTTGGTCCTGCTTTATCCCAGAATTATGATGGATATGACATCATAAGGGAGATGTGATGTCACAGGAAGGGTGTGACATCAAAAGGGGGATGTAATGTCACAGGGAGGATGTGATGTCACAAGGTAGGTGTGATGTCATAGAGGAGGTGTGATGTCATAGGGGAGATGTGATGTCCTATGATGGCTGTGATGTCATAGGGGAGATGTGATGTCACAGGAAGGATGTGATATCATAGGCGAACTGTGATGTCACAGGAAGGATGTGATGTCACAGGGGAGCTGTGATGTCACAGGGACAATGTGATGTTGCAGGGGAGGATGTGATGTCAAAGAGATAATATGGTATCACAGGAGAGATTTGATGTCTTATGATGGATGTG